TAACGCGAGCGACACTTAGCAGCCGAAAAAAAACACACAATTTAAGAAAAACTCGTCCTCAATGACTGTCAATAACCAAACTATGTTTATACTTCTTCTTTTGGTTTTTTTTTAATTAGGTTCTTGTTTTTTTATATTTATTACATTTGTGAAATATCTTCATAAAGTCCGGTACTCACATTCCTGCGGCAGGGGCGATCTATGGTATAAGAGTAGGGATGAACCTTAATTGTGATGTGTGTAGGCAAGCAGGGGCAATTTTCTTTATTTGAATAGCCCCTGGTTGCCTACACACATAACTAGAAATACCCTTGATTGCTCCTGCGTCAGGAAAGTAAGTAGCCGGTTGAACTTTAAAAAAAAACTATAATAAAGCTAAATATGCAAGGTCTCATTTAAATATAACCCATTATGTTTGTGCAGTAAATTTCATGCAATACAATGTACAAGGATGTCAGCACTTTTAACCAACTCTAATCACAATAGCCTTATCTTATTTGTTTTTTAATGATTCAGCTTCGGTTTACGGCCTTGAGGTCGTCTACGGTAACTTCGTCCGGCGATTGTCTCCGAACCTATTAAAATTTATTAGACTATTATCTAATCAATTTATAATACCCGCTCGTCTTTGCCTGCACTGATTGGGAACACCTTTTAGGTGCCGTATACAAACTGAAATCTTTCAATCAATCAATACTTTATTGCGTTCTACAATGTTTTCTTAGATCTTAGTAGGTACATTGCTTTGATCATTGTACACCCTGAACAGGGCACAGCAAATAGAGAAGAGGACGCATTGACTAATTGTAATTTAGTTAGTACCTATACAATTTACCAGCCAAATAAATTGTATAGGTACTAACTAAATTACATGATATGATATAATTAGCCTTAATTAATTTTTTAAAATGGATTGTTTTTTTTTAAATTTGGTTGGACCTGATGTGATTTAAAATGATCAACAATTAATTGAAATTAATGTATTTAATGTTAAGCTCAAGTTTGTTGCAACACCCCAACGGGGTCATGTACCACTCACTATTAAGTATGTAAGACCTTATAATAAATAATGTACATGAGCAATGTAATATAAATAAATACAGTAATTTTTTACCCAACAAATAAAAATATATTAATATCAACATTATTCAATCATTTTAGTTCAATATTGGTGTCAATTCTGGCGTGATTCTCTAAACTTAAAACTAAATTTAACATCAGTCTCTTCTTTTAGGATAGGGATACACTGTTGTCAAATTTAAGTTTAGATTTAGAGAATCGTGCCAGAATCGACACCATTATATTATTTGATTTATTATCTATGTCATATTCTATGGCATACCATGTTATATTATATTAAATTTTATTATATACAAATTAAATTACATTATTTACTGACCGTTATGTTGCCACGGCCCTAATGAATGGTTAGTGCATTCGCCCGGATAGCGAAGGGTGTGGGTTCGAGTCCCGTCTGCTGCCTGGACCGCGTGGAATTTTATCTAGTAATATTTTCTTAAGATTTACACATCGAGCAGTTACATGCTTAAACAATAAAAATTATAATAATGTATTTATTGTTACACCTACTTTTGGGGGCTTTCGTCTACCGGAAATGCTTTGGAAAACGCTAACGCTTACGATTTCATTTTGTTATTTCTAGCCGCCTGAGGTTTTCAAATGCCTCGCGCTCTTTATTTTTCCTTTGCATTGGTAATAACTATTTTTAAAAAAAATGAGCGTGAGGTATTTGAAAACCTTCGGTGGTCAGAAATAACAAAATAAAATCGAAAGCTTTGGCGTTTTCCAAAGCATATCCGTTAGGCGAATGGCCCCCTGGTATTATTATTTTAATTGAACTTGATAGAAGTGTCATCTTCTATACTTTTGAATATGATAGGGATATATTATGTACTTACTACCTGTTAAATTAAGTTTATATATAGAGTTTCATGTAAGAATTAGGTCTAATGAGTAATTTTATGAATAAGGCCACCTGGTCTAATTAGCGTAACACGCCGTAATCTATTGCATTCGTCATACACAATGAACTCACCCAAGTACTTAAATACCTAAATAGAATAACAAGAAAAATATAGGTGCGTGCATTTACAGACTACTCATTTGTTGTTTACTAGCAGTGTCCCGCGGTGTTACCCGTGGTTTATTAGGGATTTTTCCCGCAGTCAAACCTAGCCTATGTGTTAATCCAGAGTGTCAGCTAACTCCATACCGAATTTTATTAAAATCGCTCTAGCCGTTTAGACGTGAAGAAGTAACAAACATACACACTCACAAACTTTCGCCTTTTTCACCCAAGTACCTAAAGAGAATAAAAAGAAAAACATAGGTACGTACATTTACAGACTATTCATTTGTTGTTTACTAGCAGTGTCCCGCGGTGTTACCCGTGGTTTATTAGGGATTTTTCCCGCAGTCAAACCTAGCCTATGTGTTAATCCAGAGTGTCAGCTAACTCCATACCAAATTGTATTAAAATCGCTCCAGCCGTTTAGACGTGAAGAAGTAACAAACATACACACTCACAAACTTTCGCCTTTATAATATTAGTGTGATTAGTGTGATTTCTTATAACGCACTAGCGGCCCGCCCTCGCTTCGCTTCGGTGTAGAGCTGAAGTGTTGACTACAGTTTTTGTTCTCAGCTTGTATTATACACAATGACATTCATCAATGATTCTTCTTATATCTGCATGCAAAGTCTCAGCCCGATCGGTTTAAAATTGACAAACTTTCATTCCCTATTTCATCCCCTTGGGGGTAGAATTGATCAAAATCCTTTCTTAGCGGATGCCTACGTCATAACATCTACCTGCATGCCAAATTTCAGCCCGATCTGGCCAGTGGTTTGGGGTGTGCGTTGATAGATCACTATGTCAGTCAGTCAGTCACCTTTGAGTTTTATATATATAGACTAGCTGTCCCAGCGAACTTCGTACCGCCATAAAAAATGAGGTTGATGGTAGAAGGGTGAAAATTTAGGGTTGTATGTATTTTTGTATGATGTATCATAAAAAAATTTAAAAAAAATCTAAAATTGAAAAAAAAATTAAGGTTGGATTACCCTTAACATTTAGGGGGACGAAAAATAGATGTTGTCCGATTCTCAGACCTACCCAATATGCACACAAAATTTCATGAGAATCGGGAAAGCCGTTTCGGAGGAGTTTAACCACAAACACCGCGCCACGAGATTTTTATATATTAGATGTTAATGAAATATTTTAAATTTATAAGTTGTGTCCACCCACCCATCAATCCGCATTGGGTCCGCCTGGTGGTGATAGTGGGTAATAGTTGTCAGGGCCCAATCTCTCTGTCCTACCTGTAGGTGGCCCGTGCCCCAGCCTTAGTGACATTCATAGACTGATGATGATAAAGTTGAGTCCAATGTGTTATGATAGATAGAAAGATACCTAATATTATAATAATTTGAAAATTTGTGTGTTTGTTAATCAATCACGTAAAAACTTCTGAACGGATTGAGATGATTTAGTACGCATATGACCTGGATTGAGACATAGGATACTTATTAACTCGGAAAAATGTCAGCGATAACTAGGGAAAACGTGGAATGCATAATGAGACGATGTATTTGTATGAAACACTGTATATTATTTTGAAAACATATCACAGAAGAGGAGCTCGATGGCGCAAGTGGTTAGCGCGTTCGGCTGCGATCGTTGAAGTTAAGCAACTTTTGGTCTTGGTCTTGGTCGGTCGGTCATAGGATGGGTGACCAAAAATTTACTATCTCTAACCCCTCCGTGTTTCGGAAGGCACGTTAAGCCGTTGGTCCCGGCTGCATCTGCAGTCGTTAGCACCCATCAATCCGCACTGGGCCCGCGTAGTGGCTCATGGCCCAATCTCCCTATTCCATCCATAGGGAAGGCCTGTGCCCCAGCAGTGGGGACATTAATAGGCTGATGATGATATCACAGAAAGAAACGAGCGAACATACAAGACAACAGCAATCGACAATAAGAGCGAGCCTTACAGTAGTCGCGTATGATGTGTAACATTTGAAACCTCACCTTATATTACTAAAAAAAGAAATAAAACCTACTACAAAAGGAATAAGCCATCTGAACATTAAGTTCTAATATCAAATGAAATAGCGCGCGCTTTCGCGACTTCCTGTTACATACTTCCGTCACATTTCACGAAATCACTACCACAAATTGCAGGAAAGCGAGAGGAAAGATGTGACAGATCAAAAAAAAGGAAATAGGTAGAAAAGACAATTTAAAATGAGTATAAAAAAAACAGTGGCGGCTCTTCAGCCAGTCGCCAACAGTCAGTCGCCAACAGTCAGGTTCCTGTGAAACTCTCAAAAAACTAAAGTTGTCGGCCGTCGGCTGGTAATTAATCATACTTTAAAACACTGGAGTTTATATATATATATAACATTTAACTGCTATATCTTTAAATCTTAAGAAAAGTTTTACTAGAAAATATCCACGCGGACCAGGCAGCGGACGGGACCCGAACCCGCACCCCTCACTGAAAAAAGTTAAATGCTTAAAAAAAATTAAAAAACATAATTAAAATTGCTGTTTTTTCTTTCAAATGTTTAATACTTGAAAAAGTATTCATTTGACATTGAGGGTTGCCTACGGTGCGAAGAGGCTGCCTTGCAGCTTAAGGCTAGGAAAATTTCGACGCGCCCATCAGGGCCGTGGTAGCATAATTGGTCAGTGCATTCGCCCGGATTGCGAGGGGTGCGGGTTCGGGTCCCGTCCGCTGCCTGGTCCGCGTGGATTTTTTCTAGAAAAACTTCACTGGAGATTAGTTGCGTGTCCTAATTGTCCATAGCACGCGTTGGCGCGCACGGGCGGGGTGGTGTTCTGCGAGGCGGGACAGTTATGGGCGGGGGGTGCGGCGGCGCTGGGCGGCCTGTGGGCGCGGGCGAAGGCCTCGCGAGGAGGCCTACTGGCCTGGCCGCGTCGCGCCGCCGTCACCTCGCTAACGCATCCGCGGATGTTCCACTACCTGCACGCAGATTTGGACGACTTCTTGTTCGTGCAAATGGTGGACGCTACGCGGCTTATTGTGGCTAAAACTCCTGCCGTCGAAGATGTGATGCGACCATGGATACAGTGCGCCCTCACGCTCGACTGCATCATGCCCATAGGTGAGTTACGCAGACAGATGACTTCCTAGGTGTGCTGGGCTGGCCGCAACGCGCCGCCGTCACCTCTCTAACGCACCGCGGATGTTCCAATACCTACACGCGGACTTGGACGACTTCCTATTCGTGCAAATGTTGGACGCCACGCGACTAATTGTGGCTAAAACTCCTGCCGTCGAAGATGTTATGCGACCATGGATACAGTGCGCGCTTACGCTGGACTGCATCATGCCCATAGGTGAGTTACGCTGACAGATGACTTCCTAGGTGTGCTGGGTTGGCCTCGCCGCGCCGCCGTCACCTCACTAACGCATCCGCGGATGTTCCACTACCTGCACGCAGACTTGGACGACTTCCTATTCGTGCAAATGGTGGACGCTACGCGGCTTATTGCGGCTAAAACTCCTGCCGTCGAAGATGTGATGCGACCATGGATACAGTGCGCCCTCACGCTCGACTGCATCATGCCCATAGGTGAGTTACGCAGACAGATGACTTCCCAGGTGTGCTGGGTTGGCCTCGCCGCGCCGCCGTCACCTCGCTAACGCATCCGCGGATGTTCCACTACCTGCACGCAGATTTGGATGACTTCCTATTCGTGCAAATGGTGGACGCTACGCGGCTTATTGTGGCTAAAACTCCTGCCGTCGAAGATGTGATGCGACCATGGATACAGTGCGCCCTCACGCTTGACTGCATCATGCCCATAGGTGAGTTACGCAGAAAGATGACTTCCTAAGTGTGCTGGGTTGGCCTCGCCGCGCCGCTGTCACCTCACTTACGCACACGCGAATGTTCCACTACCACGCGGACTGGGACGACTTCCTAGCGGCTTATTGTGGCTAAAACTCCTGCCGTCGAAGATGTGATGCGACCATGGATACAGTGCGCGCTTACGCTGGACTGCATCATGCCCATAGGTGAGTTACGCAAACAGATGACTTCCTAGGTGTGCAAATGGTGGAAGAACGCGGCTTATTGTGGCTAAAACTCCTGCCGTCGAAGATGTGATGCGACCATGGATACAGTGCGCGCTAATGCTTGACTGTATCATGCCTATACGTGAGTTACGCTGACAGATGACTTCCTAGGTGTGCTGGGTTGGCCTCGCCGCGCCGCCGTCACCTCGCTAACGTATCCGCGGATGTTCCACTACCTGCACGCAGACTTGGATGACTTCCTATTCGTGCAAATGGTGGACGCTACGCGGCTTATTGTGGCTAAAACTCCTACCGTCGAGGATGTTATGCGACCATGGATACAGTGCGCGCTTACGCTGGACTGCATCATGCCCATAGGTGAGTAACGCAGACAGATGACTTCCTAGGTGTTCTAGCCTGGCCGCGTCGCGCCGCCGTCACCTCGCTAACGCATCCGCGGATGTTCCACTATCTGCACGCAGACTTGGATGACTTCCTGTTCGTACAAATGGTGGACGCTACGCGGCTTATTGTGGCTAAAACTCCTGCCGTCGAAGATGTGATGCGACCATGGATACAGTGCGCGCTTACGCTGGACTGCATCATGCCCATAGGTGACTTACGCAGACAGGCGACTTCCTAGGTGTGTTGGGTCCGTGGGTTCCGTGGTAGAATCCCCAACGGGGACCCCGCGGCTTCGCATTAAGCAGTGTAGAAGGTATTCGCAGGACTTTTTTAGCGGATATGATACTGTAAAGCGCCCGTAAGAGTTGCGGGGTCCTCGGTGGTCAGCCATTGGGGGGTCCGTAAGACTTGCGGGAGCCAGGTGTGAGGTCCGTTCGGCGGTGTTCCTCTTAAAGGCGCCGTCGTCTGTAGAAAGATTTTTTACCTCCGTTACAAAAAAAAGGTGTGTTGGGTTGGCCTCGCCGCGCCGCCGTCACCTCTCTAACGCACCGCGGATGTTCCAATACCTACACGCGGACTTGGACGACTTCCTATTCGTGCAAATGGTGGACCAACGCGACTAATTGTGGCTAAAACTCCTGCCGTCGAAGATGTGATGCGACCATGGATACAGTGCGCGCTTACGCTGGACTGCATCATGCCCATAGGTGAGTTACGCAGACAGATGACTTCCTAGGTGTGCTGGGTTGGCCTCGCCGCGCCGCCGTCACCTCTCTAACGCATCCGCGGATGTTCCACTACCTACACGCGGACTTGACGACTTCCTATTCGTGCAAATGGTGGACGCCACGCGGCGTATTGTGGCTAAAACTTCTGCCGTCGAAGATGTGATGCGACCATGGATACAGTGCGCGCTTACGCTGGACTGCATCATGCCCATAGGTGAGTTACGCAGACAGGTGACTTCCTAGGTGTTCTAGCCTGGCCACGTCGCGCCGCCGTCACCTCTCACGAATCCGCGGATGTTCCACTACCTGCACGCAGACTTGGATGACTTCCTATTCTTGCAATTGGTCAAAAGCTTTCGTCGTGGGAAATAACCTCTAACCTTACAGAAGACCACATTACTGTGGTACTGTTTTGCAATAACACTACCTTTTGGTGTTGTGTGAAACACAACAGTGTTTCATATCGATGAATAAGGTTTCCAGGACTCCATAAGGTTGGGGATTGGGTCAGGGTGGGCATCGGCGTCCTGAGTGATATTTTCGCAAGCGTCTAAAGCTACAGTGACCGCTTACAACCAGGCGGCTCTTATGCTTGTTTATCACCCGTTTGATATTAAAAAAAGAATGTGCTTATGACCACATGACACGACTGAAGTGAAACTTCTTTAGCTCCATCTGTATGTATATATATATTTATGTACAATATTTACATGTATGTACATATACATATTTCATTTACTAGCTATAAGACAAAGAGAGAAAGAAAATGTGCGCGCGCACTGCTTTCTCTTGCTTATATCCCCCACTCAACTCCCGTTCGCCTCGCCCGATCACACTTTTCGTAACGCGTCCGCCAGCTTACTCCCCAAGTCAAGCGTGCGTAAAGAAGTTTGCTTATATCCCCCACTCAACTCCCGTTCGCCTCGCCCGATCACAATTTTCGTAACGCGTCCGCCAGCTTACTCCCCAAGTCAAGCGTGCGTAAAGAAGTTTGCTTATATCCCCCACTCAACTCCCGTTCGCCTCGCCCGATCACACTTTTCGTAACGCGTCCGCCAGCTTACTCCCCAAGTCAAGCGTGCGTTAAGAAGTTTCAATTCAAAAAGTTGTTACATTACTTTTGTCGCAGGCGCCCAGTCGGCCGGGTGCAGGTTCGACAAGAAGCCCCAGTACCGGTACTCGGGCTGCCACGGGCAGGACGCGTCGGCGCTCAGTATCATCCTGGGGCTCCGCTCTGGGTTCGAAGAGTCCCAGTATGCAGTGCGAGGCGGGAGAACACAATGGCGCCACGTGACTGATGCTGCCGCACGCGCCTCCTTAGCAGAACTACTGCGGAATAATACAGACCAGGATGCTCCCACGCCCGCGCACCTCTAACCAGGTACGTTTTTTATGAAATCTCTTATCTATTAGACAAGTCCGTTCGTCCGTCTGTGGTGCTGTTTAAGCGGCCAAACCGTAAGAGATAGAGAAAGAGAATATTTAAGAATAGTCTGATAAGACTACAAACCGGATTTGAGTAACGTAGCACTTCCGGTTTTCGAGAAATCACGAATTTCAAACGAAACCACACAAAATCTCCGAAGTTCTCAATTAATTAAATACATTTTTTTTTAATCAGGTTTTGGTGAACATTTGGTTCACTGGTTTGCTAGTGTGTATCTATTAGACTTGCAACGAATAGTATATTCGGCAGTATACCGAAAACCGAATATTCGGCGAGGCCCCTGACCGAATAGCCGAATATTAGGCAAAAGTATTCGGCTGGATTTTAGCGCCAAAAACTTAACAGACTAGACGTGATTGTTTCGCGCTCCTTTGTTTTGTTCTAATCTGCCGTCCTCAAGCTAAAATGCGGCTAAATGACAAAACCAACTTTTGAGATATGGCCAAAAACGCGCGTAAACTTTAAATTATTGCTATTATGTAACCGTTCTTCACATGACTGAATGAATTAAAAACTGTTAACTTGTTTAATACAGAAAATGATTAAATTATGTACCTGTTTTATGTACCGATGACTACTTAATAAATGATTATAAAAGAAATGAGAACCTTACCCTTCTAAATTTTGATTACCACAATAATTCAAATACATAGGATCCTTCATTTTTCCAATTCAGAAGATAATTATGTACCTGTGTTATGTACCAATGACTACTTAAATGAAGATCTAACAGAAATGAAAATATGAATATATACGTAATCAATCGATTTTAATTTTTCATTTTGCTAATTATTTCTCTATGACAAAATATATTTTTTAAGTATTCGGTATTGGGCCGAATAATATGTAGATATTCGGTATTCGGCCGAATATAATAAAAGCAGCCGAATAGCCCGAATAGTAACCGAATATTCGTTGCAAGTCTAGTATCTATGATGTTGGTGGCATGACATTTAAAACGTCGTCTGGATTAGGGACGGTGATCCTTAAAAGGATTGGCAAATTCCTCAAGTGGTATTTAAGGCGGATGGCATCTCCCCACGGGTTAAAAAATTGGGTCATCTTTTACATAATTATAGAAACAGCTTGTTGGATCGTTTGGAACAATTTTAACCCAAGCATTTTTGTCTGAAATATAATCAGACACTTTGTAATAATACGCTTTATTCATAATAACTTTTTTAATAGTAGCTTTAAGTTTAGCGTCTAGCTGGAGCCATTAGATCACTCCAGCAAGACTAACCAGCTGGAAAATGCTCGATGTATACCCTACAGCCAGTTGTAGAGTTATTTCAGACTCTTACTGATAAAAACCACCTACAGCCTTCGGCGGGGAATGCTTTCAAGGCGACATCGGAACCGATCACCCCTTTGGAGGGGCTGACCAAAACCAAAACAGATACCACGCATTGGACATCCTTATATAGTGGCAGCACAGAGCATCCCTACGCGTTTCTTTTCCGCGTTTTTTTTTTGTTTTCTCTCAGGCGAGGAAGAGGATTGGAAATCCTACAGCCGGCTGTAGGGTTATGTCAGACTCTTACTGACTAAACGTCTGGCCATAACGAGATACTAACCACGCACCGGATCACATATAGCTCACAAGAGTCCACATTACTCCATTTTTGTTTAAAATCAATATTTTTGATTTAAGAAATACTAGGGGGGGGGGGGGGGAGTAAACCGCGTTGTGATTGGACACATCAGTGTAACGTCACGATGTAAGCGGTCTCTTACTTAAAAACGGGTTTCCTTTATCTAGTTGCAGCGCCTGCCTGCTGAAGACCGGATTCCCCTAATTGCAGCGCCCGCCTGCTGAAGACCCCCAACTCACAGAAGAATGCATGCGTGAAGTAAAACGATTTTGCCGTAAAAGCATGAAACGCGCGGTGGTACAGTACGATTCAAACTTTATAACGTCTGTGAAGTTAGGTGCGCGCGGAATATCAATGACCTGAAACTCGCGCACTCGTTGCTAACTTCACATCTTCACAACCGCTATATGTTTGTTTCGCACTATACTGCTTTGTGTGATTCGTATGGAACAATGCGGTTGTATTTAGAGTTCGTTGCACTATAGTACTACTGCTAGAACTCTACGCAACGTATCTCGTTTAAATTGAACGTCAAAGCTAAACTTTTGCGGCAGTATCAATACATTATTTCCTGGTATTTTCTTCCTTATAATTTAAAAGTGTCAAATTTTGTTAACCAGAGCTTGCACTGGCTGTACAGGACCTTAACAATATTAGGTTTCCCATAGAAGTGAACTGAAGATAATACAGTGTATATGTCGTGATAATAAATCGAAGTTTTGCGAAAATCGTAGGGCTTTTGCGGAAACGCGGATAATGAGCACAATGGCGATGATATTACTCAATCTTACTGAAAAAAATAGGATTTTTGCAAAAAGCGAGTCGCCTCAGTAAGATTGTGAAAAGAATCGATGGCTTATTATAAATATTATTGACTTCACGTTAGATTACTGTTATGACCATGACTATATAATTATGAAATTATGTTATGATAATTATCCGTGCTTACGCAAAAACCCTAGGTATATTGCGTAAATTCGATTTCTCAAATCATCCTATGACTTATACTTAATATAGTCATTAACTAGGACTTTTTATAAGCAACACTGAACATTCACTGCCCGAGAAAGTAATCGATTTTTAAATCCCAAGTTTTATGGAATCGCATATTTTGATGCATCTTAAACATAGCTTAACCTTAATGATTGACTTATTAAGTATAATTACAATATTATCTTATGAATATAAAGCTGTCAGTTCGAAATAAATATTCAGATGAGATTTTACTGTAAATAAAAAAAACGTTACTACTCATTTAAAATATAAATTTACGAATACAAACACGCGAATAATATTTGGCAAATTCAAATGACCTCATGAATCAACACACACGCGAATTGCGGTGTGTGAGAAAAATAGATTATAACAATATTTTCATGATGCATTATTACAGTAATTTAAATCAGTATACAGTTTACCCCAAAAACAGTTTGAATTACTTATATAATTTTTATATGAGGCAAATTAACTAGAATTTGTGGACTGGCCAGCGGGACTGACTAACATAGAGCAACACAGTCGACGTGGCCAGGAGGGGAGTAGGCTAGATAGATGTGGCCAGGAGGGGAGTAGGCTAGATAAACGTGGCCAGGAGGGGAGTAGGCTAGATAAACGTGGCCAGGAGGGGAGTAGGCTAGATAGATGTGGCCAGGAGGGGAGAAGGCTAGATAGACGTGGCTAGGAGAGGTAGGCGGGGAATACACAGCTTCTCCTCTGTCGGGTTGGGCATACAAACGATACGTGTGTGCAGGGTTTGAAGGTATATTGTGTCATAGTTTATAGTAACAGTTTTGTTTTATATGCGTGTACGTTAAACTGCATTTGTGTGAATATTCCCCGCCGCAAAAATACAGAATGATTTGAATTATATTATGTGGCTATGGCTACTCCCTTCCGTGTTGCTCTATGGCTAATAATAATCAACTGACGTTTTCAAGGAAGGTAAAGATGGCAGCTTACTTTTTGACTAAAACCACAGACTAATGAACTTGCGCAGTAGACGTTTTTGTATGTAACATTGCTACTGCGCACGCTTCCTTGTCTATGGTCGTTGCTCAAGAGTTTGCCGGGATGTTTAAACGTTATGATCCAAGCTTTACGAATTAGCTTGTCTGCTCATGAAATGTTAAGCTCTCTTCTTTCCTACTGTGAGCATCTGAGGGGCTTACGTTGATTTTATGAATAACGTCAATTTCACGCTGTGAGTTGCGCGAGCGCAATTTATTGAAGGGTGCCTGCTACCCATTTTTTATAGCTTTTACTTCCTATACCTATTTTATAGTCAATTTTGTAATAATTTAATTCCGTATTGAACGCTAACTCGTATTTATTTTAATTTTATTTTGACACTCGACGATGCACAGTCGGTTGTCAAACAGTGATTCTTTTGCCTAAAATTATTTATGATTGTTAAGGAAGTATTTTTTTAATTTGTTTTGGAGTTGCTAAGCGAGCCTATCCATATCACGGGAAACCACTCCTACTGGTGTATTAATTATAAATACGTATGTTATGGCGACGTCATTTGTGATTATATAATAATATATGGAACAAAATGAGGGAAGAGATTATTATAGAGAATGTTTATACATATTTTTTTTTTTTAGTTTTATCGGTATGATTGTTATATTTAATGGCAAGCGACTCGAACAAAATTATAGACAATGAATATTGCTCAACTTAAGCCAACGACACAGGTTCAAACTAAAAAAAAAGAATCGATTTCTAGTTCACGACGTTTGGGGGCGTGCCTCACGCATAGGTAAAATTTTACTTAGGCTTGGTGTAAGCGGTTGCCCTTGTGTACTCTAGTGGGGGTGCTCCATGCGCCGTCCCCAAAACCGGTGAAGCTGTAAAGGTTATCTGCGACCAACAGCATACACACTCAAAAAAAATTGTGTGTGTCAGCTCCGACGCACGACTGGAGTTTACTCCTTAAGTTCGATAGTCTAACCAGACGCAAAAAGAGTTTATTTAACTTAAAAAGATTGATACTGTATGAAAGGGTAAATTAACAAATTAATGAAAATAATATACATATATAAATATATATTTATTCATTTCATATACATTTATTATAACTAATCGACGAAATATTTTACATTAAACTTTTTACAATAGTCAATTTCAGATGTGCATAAATATATCATTAGGAATGTTGATAAATTATGTAATTATTATTATCAGACTATTATCATTTTTTTAAATATTAATTAAATCGACATTGTCTGCATTATTAATTACAGTGACAAGTGGTTTATGGTAACTAAAATAAGACACATGGACGTTCGTAGATACGTGGTTCACGAATCTTGAAAATACCGCATCAATGGTCCATACCATACCTCGTTGTCCCCATTGCTCTATCAGAAACAATATCTAAATTCAGTTCAGATTTAAAATTTTTTATTAATGTCAATCCGTCATCTTTGTTTGTCAAAGTTGCGCGACATAGGATACGCACCAAAAACGTAACGAGGTCATTCATCGATAGATTTTACTCCTCACATTTTTCTCATACCGGGCCCCTTATATATGCAAATCGATTCTTAAGGAGTAAACTCCAAAAAAAGTGTTACGTTGTTGTTATGTTCGAGTAATTTGCCAGTGTGATCGTTATGGAGTTTAGTTTAAAATGTGGCACCACGACTGAGGGGTTGTGAATTGTATAATATCATCACTGAACTATGTGTTATTCCTGTTTATTATTCCTTATAGTTAAATCGATGTGTGTAACGCCCGCTTCCTAAAGCCCTCTGTTGCTAAGCCGAAATACGTAAATCACATTAAGCTATTTAAATATACTAGTTTGGTAATACAGCCCGCCCGCGTAGGAATGTTTAGGGAAACTTTTTGAAACATAATTTATTAATTTTTGTTAGAGTCTGTGCGGAAAGAGAATGGGCGTGGCGAAAAACGGAACTAACATTAAGATTTTTATTTGTCAATCAAACCCAGCAATCTGTAAAACGTTGAAAGTTTTGTATTGATACGGATTTGTTTGTCGTTGTGATTTCATGCGGTTTTTTGTAATTAATCATGTCTAAAAGGGGTAAAACCTTACAAATACGGTAGAAAAGCACTACAGCGCCCTCCAATCTAAATCCCATTCTCTTTCCGCAGAGACTCTACAATCGAAGGTACTGTGGACAGTGTTATTATTTTTCTTGGGAGTTATTTCTTATTAGTTATCTTTACATGCCTCTTCTGGCGAGTTTATGAAATTATAATAGGGGTGATGACGGGGTACAGTAAACGAAATTCTATTTAGTCCGTCAGTTAGATGATCAAAAAATAATGGACACGTATTTTTTCTTTGGGCAATCAACCAAAAAATGGCAGTTATAGCGCGTCAAAGTTTGGGAGTAGGGGCTCGTGACGTCACTTTTGAGTGAATTTTCACTTATAAGTGTACTCAAACGTGACGTCATGCGACTTTTCAAATCAATATATCTCTGCAATGTTTATATTATGTGAAAAAAGAAAAAATACGTGTCCAATACTTTTTGATAATCTACCTGATAAACGAAGAAAAAAAATAGTCATCATCCCTATTATTAATAGTAAATGGTTAGTATTACCACCGCTTAACAAGGGCGTATAAAGATGTCAAAATCTACACATTTTTGACGTTTGGTTAGGCTAGATGTAAGGCCACTTGTCCAGTGAGTGGTCGGTTGGAAGCGGACGCGTCGGGCCCACTCGGACCATCCGTAACTAAAGCCAACAATTTGAAATATATTTCCTTCGCATCGGTTGCAATACCAAAGATTACTCCGTTGCGCCAAAAATGCTGTTTACGATGGTTTAATGTGATTGTAAGATAGTTTAATTTAATTTTTTTATGGATGGTCCGAATGGGAACCAAAGTCGAAGTACAATGTGATATAATTAAGTATTAGTGATAGTTAATGCGCCTCGTGCGACCGCTTACATTATTTTTTATGTGACCGAAATGAGATCGGTGTATTTTTGTTTTATTATTTATTATCTGAAGGTACTTATCTTACTTTTTTTGTATGTCTGAATCGAAAAGCGTGAAACAAGACTTTAAATTTCAATGAACAATGTTTATGGTGAAAATATCGAAATAATGGTATAAATAATATTTTATTTGAATATTTCACAAAACCTATTGAATAATACGGAAAAGTTCGTTATTTTTTTTATATTGATTAGGTAATATATAGGTCGCGCGATCCGCGACATGAATGCAAAAGTAATATTGAAAGATCTCATTGCTACTTAAAACGTGTAAGTATATGGTACTGAGTAAAAAATAAATAATTTTGTACATAATTTACATTTTTGTAAAAGACACTTTTAGATACATCACTACAACACAGATAAAATGCTATAATGCCAAGTAGACAATGCACCTTTTATATTAATATCCATTTTCATCTAGAATTGATGGACACCTGTTAGACAATTTATCAATTAAAATTGCAAACTCAAAAGGTATTTTATAGCTACCAAACTGCATTTGGTTTTATATACTAAAGGTGGCGGTTCGATCCGCGACCGGAGACCGAGACCAGAGACAGAGCCAGGAGACCGCCACCGGCACTTGTTCTTTAAAGGGGCCCATATACGGAACGATTGATCTGTACGATCCGTCGTTTCAGACCAATCGAAACGATGGATCGACAGTGTATGTCAAGATCGTTAATGATTTACTTAATCGCAGACGATATCGGAGATCGCAACCAAATCCCATGCAATCATGAATAACGAATCGATCGAAACGATCGATCGACAGTGTTTCGTGTATGTAGTGTCATTTAGATTTGTACGGGCGACAGTTCGCGCGTGCGACAGAGACAGGAGACAGAGACGCGAGACCGAAGACAGCGAGACGGTCGCCGTCCCGGATCAGTAGTGTCGTGTCGCGACCAAAATGCACGTGTTTTTTTATTAAAAATGACTGGTTTTTCTTCACTAATAGCGAAAATGAACCTTGTTGGCCTCTAATTGTATATAATTCGTTAATAATAATCAATAGTTTTGTAGTAATAATATAAGAGCAAATCATCGTCTTCTTATTCCTTCAATCATAACTCAATATACAATAATCAGTATTTAATGACGCACTTAAACTATTACCTCCATCATGAGACTACGACACTGAGGTGGTTGCGGTCTCATGGTCTCGTCTGTAGTCTTGGTCTCGCCCCACCGTACATACAGAAGAGACCGAGACACTTGTCGCGGTCTCCTGTCTCGGTCTCCTATCTCGGTCTCCTGTCTCGGTCTCCTGTCTCGGTCTCCTATCTCGGTCTCCTGTCTCGGTCTCTCATCTCGGTCTCCTGTCGCGGTCGCGGCGCGAACCGTCACCTTAACGGGTGGCCAATCAGTCAACCGTGATATACCGGTTTTAAAAGTAAACAGCAGCCCCGCTAGCATGAGCACTTTACGCGTTTTTATCACGCTCAATTGTCAAATTACTATGGATTTTGACAGTTAAACGCGATAAAAAACGTGTTACAATGTAAATTATGGTGCTCATGCTACGTTAGAACAATTTACATTATATCACGTTTTTTATCGCGTTTAACTGTCAAACTCCATAGTAATTTGACAATTGCGCGTGATAAAAACGCGTTATATATCACATCGCGGTGCTCATGCTACAGGGGCAGGTTGGTCTTATGTCTTATTCAGTTGGTAACTTCTGACTATCGATATAAATCTAAATGCTTCTACGCACTATCCATCTTGGTGGATCCAGTAAACGGGATGGTGATACAGCTGAATCCAGCGAGATGGTATATGCGTAGAGGATTAAATTTTGAAAGTTTTTAAAATTTTGTGTAGATAACAGTATGTCTACGCGCTCCGATCAAATTTGATCTGGGCCTACTCCAAGTATCTACTTATATTAAAAGCATCTGCCAGGTGGCTCAGCTCAATACAAATAGTTGTAAATTATTGTCGAAACCATCTTTTATAAATTGTACAAAATAGTTTACATACTGTCACTTATTTTTCGAGCCTATAAATTACATTATTTCGTTCACATTCGTTGAGTTCAATATATCACACATCAAATAATCATTCTTTTCTGCTACAGATTTTTGCTAATATCTAAATAATATTTATATGTAACAATGCACAATGATATTCCTTTTTTCGTACGTATTTTTGGATTATTTTACAGGCGAAAACCTTTTCTAACGAACTGAATCTTATAATAAGTAAGGATTAAATTGCTCACTAAGTGTCACTGATTTAATGGGTAAAGACGACCAGATAAGATGTGGACGTTCCACCCAACATAGTAACAATAAGAGATTTATAACTACAAGTCTTGGACCTCAATTTTAATTTAATGCGAATGAATAAGAGTGTCCAGCCATTGTTGGTCCAATATGTTCGAACCCTGTTAAAAATTCTAAGCATAATTTTGTATAACTATTTAAAACACGTTAACGAACACCAGTCTTGATTTAATATTAGATTTTATATCGCTTAAAATACACTATACAAGTACTAAGTTATATCTTTTTCTAATGTTCTGCTCTTATGGTAAATTCTGGGACAAATTGTTGATTAGCGTTACACTGCTGTTGAATATGCTATTTTTGTCCAAGCACTGATTTCGATGTGATAAGCAATGCACTCATGTTAAACATTAAGGCGCTTTGCAGACGACGGGGCGGGGCGGGCTTTTTGTCCGCGAAGCAATAAAGACCGCGTCTGCCCGTCGATGTCTGCGTCTGCCCTCGCCGCGTACACAAAGCATACGACGGGCAGAGGCAGTCAGTTCAGGACGTTCGTTCTAGTGAATAGTCCATCACTAAAAAGCGCGTGGCGCGGACTGAGCTGACCGCCCCGCGCCGCCGTCTGCGTTACTGCATATAAACTGGTTTGTATGATCCACGGCGGGCAGCCGCGGACATGCAGCGCCGCCACTGCACGCCGGGCACCTGCGGCGCGGTCTTTTTGCCCTCTGTGTGCGTTTGAAATATAGGATTCACTTTGTGCTATTATTCGCGGCGAAATTGATCGGCCCGCCCCGCCCCGTCGTCTGCAAAGCGCCTAAATATGAGAGTTGCATTCGTTTTTTTTAGATTAATTTTGTAAATTTTTCCCTACGGCTAAAGTCCTTTACGCACTGTCCACCTAAAAGAGATGGAGATACAGGGGTAGTTTTCCAATTACAGCACTAGAGCGCATAATGCTTAACGTTGAATGTTCCAACTACAGCAACGCTTCGCACAATAGAGCACTCAAAAGTAATGCTTTCGTGTGATGCGTGCAATCGTACCAACTCAGTGACAGAAAATTAACAAGTGTTTTTTCTTTAAGTTGGCATTGATCCAAATGTTTAATTTATTTGTTATCATTAGTAATGTTATTTATTGTTGAAAAATTATTAAAGCTTTAGTTTCATTATAGTATTTTTTTAAATGATCAAAGTTAATTCAAACTGTGTTAAAAAAATAAATATAAGTATGGATGAAGGTTCAAACATTGACTTTTTTTTTCAACACTGAACTTAG